TTGTTTTGTTTTTTTCTTTTCTTCTATTCCTTTAAGTATTTGTATTATGTTTTCGACTGATACTTTGTAATTATTTATTTTGTTAATTTGTAATATTATGTATATTTTGCATATTGTAAACTGGCCCCATGGAAGACCAGCAGCAACAATTATAGTTGCAGCTGAATATGGGCTACCAGCCGTATACGGTCCCTTTTTCTCTGTATGATTATATGTATTTGTATCTCATTTTATTATACGGAAATAAAAACAACAACAACACCCTTGCCGGCAAATTTAAACACTTTTTTTTTTTTAAACCTAAAGTTTGAGCGAAGGTCCCGATGCTTAAAGGTAAAGACCAGTATTGGAAACGCCCCAATTTCAAAAAATGAAATGGAAGCTCTCATTACCAATCATGTGAAAGAATATGTTTTGACTAATACATGATGATAACAAATTTGCCGGGAAACCGCCTACTAATTCATATATTTGGTAAATTTGTTTCTCTCATGGACTGTGAGAGATATAGGGTAGTCCCATATACATCTTTTTGTGTATAGTGCTTGTAACTTTACGAAGAATGGGCCAAATTTCTTATCATTTTGATGATTCCAGAACCTTGCAGATGCTAGATGCTAGATGATCAACCTTTTCTGATCAATTCCACAACGTTTCTTTCACAATGCAATCGCATGACCATAACTGGTCTTTACCTTTAAACACGATAATGTGAACAGATTATTTTCGTTTTCCTTCTAAATTTTAGAAACGTTATTATTGTATAATTTGTTTAATACATTGTATAAGCTTTACAAGGAGAGGCAATTCATTTATGTTTTACACGATCACTGAATTCGTTCGGGAAGAATTAACACGCATCATATTTTACGACGTATTATGAGTCGGCTTAAAATTAAGGCCATTCCATTTTACAACAGGGAAACTCCGTAGGTAACAAAATTGCTAGGGAAGTAGCAGGCTTAACAAAATTGAATATTGACTTCGGAAGACATGCATGTTTTCAAGCTAAGTCGGGTAACGTAAAGTTTGTGAGAAATCTCCATATAATTAATCTTTGTTAGTAAATATTCTATTCATGGAGCATACATATGTGAAGAGCATACCCTAACTCGATTCTCGTCTGAAAAATAGCCAAGTTAGCAACAATATGAAGCTGGAAATGCGAGTACCCAGTGCTTCCAAACATAAAAAATGGAGCGACCCTGAAAATAGATATGTAATTTATTTTATTGCTAGTTCCGGGACCTCAGACCTCCGAGTAATATCAAGAAGATTGCTTGTCATTGTTTGTTAAAACTTTGCCACAACAGCAGGACTTGAATCAACAACGTAAGTCAAAATTTCCTTCGCCTGTCTTTAATATTTGTTATGATATCATATTTTTGTTTTTCGTTTTTAATTGTGCTGTCATTAATCGTATTTTGTATGGTAGGCGCGTGTACAGTGTATAAATCATTATGTTAATTTGCAATGATTTTTTTTCTCTTTACCTCTTCAGAGGGACTTCATTTTTCCATTTCAAAATACATATAGACTATTTACAAAACAAGTACAACGAAATATGCAAGATCAACATAATTTCTTAAAAGGATCATAATAACATTTCAATTAATTTCTTAACTTCTTCATTATCGAAGTATTTTATATTTTCTTTGTATTTCAAATAGTATTTCAATGATGAAATAAAATTATTTATTAACCTCTGGCTTTGTTGGTACTTCCCCAAAGTTCCGCTTTACGTAATCTTTGTATATAACAGATTGTGCATAATTTATCAAGAAATTAAGTAAATTAATTTTTTTGTTATTTATCTTATATCCAATCAATAACATTTTCATATCAATTTCAATTTCTGTTTTAAAAATGAAATATATCATTTTAGAGATAATGTTCCAGAATACTCTTATCTTCTTGCAATGAAATATAAAATGCTCAATAGTCTCCTTCACACGACAAATTTTACATTCGTTAGACTGTACGATTTTCCATGTAAAGAGATTATCTTTAGAGGGCAATACCCTATGAATTAATATGAAATTATATTGTTTGATATGATTGTCTCTTATCTTATTAAATTTTAACTGAAATATATCTATACAAACAACAGTATCTGGTAGGCCTAAACAATTTTGCCAAAAATGGAAACAAACTTTCTCTTTTTTCTTTTCTTACATTGAATTATAGCAACTTTTCGCTTTAGTACATTCAACGTTTATAATATCTAAAGTTGTCTCAATGTAGATTGTTTCATTGGGATTTGAAGCTTTGTTTAAACGTACATTTGTAACCAATATTTTGGGAATGCTTTCTTTAATTTTAACATTTTGAATAAAAACAACAAATCCTTTACATCAAAATTTTTATTGAATAGAGAGTTATCTATCCAAGTGCCTTGATTTATAACATGTTTAACTTGAACAATTCCTTCTTTTATCCACAACGGGAAATGCAGAGTTTTTTTTTAATCAATTACAATATTACTATTATTCGAAAGTATTTCATTGGAAATATATTTTACATCAAATTTATTTACATAACGAATTTTCGACCATGTGCAAAGCAAATCCATGGTAGATTTCTTTTTTTACATATCTTTTGCATGTGTTTCATATGACAATTATACTGTAAACATAACAGCATCCCACCAACTCTGTCTTTCCAAAATGAAAATAATGTCTTCCACATTGCATCATCTGCATTAGAAAACTTATATATCCAAGATAATCTAAGTGAATTAGCTTTCAAAATCAAATCAACCTTACCAAGCCCATCTTCTCTTTCTGAATTAATACAAACATTCCGTTTTTACTTTTTCTAGAATTCCATTTTTAATGATAATCATATTTCTTTCATAATGATTCTTAGATAGAAAAATCCTTCTTCCTGGAACATATTTTTAATTTTTATAAATTATTATTATTATTATTATTATTATTAATTTTTTTTTTAAATTTAAAAAAAATATATTTACATCTTTTGACTTTTGACGCTCTACTCCGAGGAGCGGAACATGTCCCCGAACGGAATACACTGATTTTTCGGTCTTCATGAATCTATACTCGACTAGTCCTCAAAACAAACGATCATGTGGGAGTTTTGTCAGCAGTTGGTCTCGTAATCCGGTGACTCGGGTTCGAAACCAAGTCGATGCGCTAGTGGTAAGGCATTAATCCTCATTACCAGGTCCATCGGAGAGAACCTAAAGCCGTCGGCCGTCTGGTTGCTTAATAACAAGCATTTATTCTTTCTTAGCAGCCAGGTAAAATAATCACCACCACATATATATAGACATATAGCTTAAAATCAGGGAAAGATTGTGAGACTGTAGATGACTTTCTTCTTCGTTTGAACATGAGTGTAATAAGCACCCGATGAACACTCATTTGAGTTGGATAATTATGCAGCTCATTATGAATGTTCACATTTTTATATTTCATACATGAGAGCATTCATAAATTTACAGTCAGCTTTTTGGTGTTGATCTCCGACACCCAAAAGAGGAGGAAGAAGAAGAAGAAGAAGAAGAAGAAGAAGAAGAAGAAGAAGAAGAAGAAGAAGAAGAAGAAGAAGAAGAAGAAGAAAGAAAAAAGAAGAAGAAGGAAGAGAATCAAAGAAAGAACAATATAAATAGGGAAAAGAAGAAGAAGAAGATTATCATTATGAAACTAAAATAATAAAGCAATATCTATGTCTATTTTAAGATTGAAAGCATGTAAAACTAAAAGAAGGAGGAGAATCAAAGAAAGAACAATATAAATAGGGAGAAGAAGAAGAAGAAGATTAGGCATATTATTATTATTTTTAATTGTTATTGTTATAATTATTATTATCATTGTTTATCATCATCATCATCAACATCATCATCATCATCATCAACATCATCATCATCATCATCATCATCATCATCATCATCATCATCATCGTCGTCATTATTATCGCCTATATGAATAAAGCGATAGAAGCGTTTATAGAAATCAGCTTCGTCCATGTTTTCTTAAAACGCGGAACGTGCCGCTGCTGTTGCACATGCATGTAGAGAGTACATGTACATTAAAGCCACACTGTCCTATTTGTAGCTACTTGCTCCCTTTTATAGAAAACAATACCTAATCGGTGACCATTGGTCCCCCTTGATCCTCCTTTTCTTATGTTAATTGAGAGCTGAGTTGATGGGAAAGCCATCTGTCACAGTGATCTCGCTGGCAAGCTGGGTGGTCTAATCCCTTCTGGCTGAACTAGTACAGCCGGCCTTCAATACTCGATATTTCTTTGTCCTTAATTAATTGTATTACGGTCATATAATGCAGTCCTCTCATTTAGTCGTTTAACTGCTTCCGTAAAAACAACCTGCACATCGAATAAGGATTGTTAATTAATTTTCCCATTATTTTTCATTTCTGTCTTTAAATAGTCGGGATACCATCAGTATTATCTCTTGTCTCGTATATCAAACCCGCACATTTTAGGGTGCGTTCAATCGACACTTTTTCACCCTAGAATCAGGATTTTTAAAGACTTTTAGTTTAAAACACGTTTCGTTCAAGCGATTTTTTAGTCTGTCGTAAAAATACTAAAAACACTAACATGAAACGCTGAAAAAGATGCGTTTTGTATCATGATTCTGCAGAATCAAGGTCGTTAAACTTCGATTGAACGGATGGAGTTCTCAATCATGATTCTATGGCGACATTATCGTGGCCTGTTCCGGTTTGGGCAAAAACCGCGCGCCTGCTTTTCATGCAATTTGCGTTCACTGTGCTCTTTGTTTCTTCCTTCTATTCTTATGTTATTCTTTGTTTTTTCCTTCTATCACCTTCTCTTATGTTATTCCTTTAAAAAAAAAAATTCTATCACTTTCTCTCCTGTTATTCTTTGTTTCTTCCTTCTATTCTCATGCTATTCTTTGTTTTTTTCCTTCTATCACCTTCTCTTATGTTATTCTTTGTTTTAATCATTCTATCACTTTCTCTTATGTTATTGTTATACCCCTATAGAGATATACTCTTTGATGACTCACTAATAAATGCCCACTCCACTTTAGTTAGTAAATGCCCACCCCTTTGTTCTACCCTACCAGCATAAATGGACGAACTTGGAGATCGGTCAGCATGCATAAGTGTACAGCATGTGTCATTCTACATTTAGATTGAGCGCTGAGTACACCAACTGACTTGTTTCTCCTCATCTTTGATTATTTCCAGGTAAGGCAATATAATTTCTATCAATGTATTTTGATATTAGTATGTATACATGTTTATCGTATATGTTATATATTCATGCTAAAGTAATACATTTTACTGGTATTCCATCCTTAGTATTTGTTAGTGGTTATTAAGCAAGTGAACTATAATGCATCGAAAGCATGATGCGCCGTTAGCTTGTGAACATGCAGTGTAAGTAACTGTCTTTTTGGCTTTCTATTGGATATTTACTGTATCTATAACTTTTTTGTATTACTTCTAAACATGATCAGTTATGGTACTTGAACCTTTGAATCATATATATTTATATATATGTTATTATATAAATAAGTAGATTAAAGGTAAAGACCAGTATTGGAAACGCCCCAATTTCAAAAAATGAAATGGAAGCTCTCATTACCAATTGTGAAAGAATATGTTTTGACTAATACATGATGATACAAAATTTGCCGGGAAACCGCCTACTAATTCATATATTTGGTAAATTTGTTTCTCTCATGGTCTGTGAGAGATATAGGGTAGTCCCATATACATCTTTCTGTGTATAGTGCTTGTAACTTTACGAAGAATGGGCCAAATTTCTTATTATTTTGATGATTCCAGAACCTTGCAGATGCTAGATGCTAAATGATCAACCTTTTCTGATCGATTCCACAACGTTTCTTTCACAATGCAATCGCATGACCATAACTGGTCTTTACCTTTAAGACTTTGATGTGAAAGGGGTTTAGCAACTCCGAACCCCAGAAAGTGAGGAGACTGGACCTAAGATGAGAGAGAATGATAAGAGCTGTAGATAGAGGGATCTGTGGTCTATCCACCATTAGCCTCTTGTCGATTGCCCTCGCTTTACTGGAGTCCGTAAATTCTGGCGAGCGAAGCGAGTCAGAGAAACCGAGCATTTTAAGACTGCTTCGTTTTATAATGCTTTAGAGAGTTTTACTTGGTTCTCTTTATGTTCTCTTCTCAATATTTGTAGCGAATAGAATATCATTGTTCCAGTTTGGTCAATTTGTATAGAGTAGTCATTTTGATGTGATGATTTAAAGTGTCATTAGGACTTTTGAGATTCAGTTTAGTAGTTTGTTAAACTACAATTTAAGGTTATTTCTTATAGTTAATTGTTAGTTTTATTGGATGATATAATAGAACTTGTATTAAATAATCCTTGATTATTTAAGGGAAGTTACTTGGATACCGTTTGATAATGGTATGACTTCTTTATTAGTATGTATGTTCATGAGAACATAAGGATATTTAAAGGAAAAGTCATGGTATCTTAGATATACACAAGATCCGGGTTAGTTCTCGGGTTTGTAATTTGTTAGCGTATAGAATACATTCACAGGTAGTATTCAGCAACTTCAAGGGAACATCTTAAGGGTGAAATTGTGATGTACAAGATGTTTGATATTAATTGTTATGGTTATGTATCCATGAGGATAAAGACACGGAAAACATAATAATTCTAGAAAGTTTGTTCTTAAAATATTGTTATTGTATGTGATTTCTGTTATTTGTTGATATTTATTATGGAGATAATAAATGTGTCATTCCACATTTAGATTGAGCGCTGAGTACACCAACTGACTTGTTTCTCCTCATCTTTGATTATTTCCAGTTATTTACAGTAACCATCCCTACACGCCATAGGGGTGTAACATTATTCTTTGTTTTAATCATTCTATCACTTTCTCTTTCTATCTTTCCTTATGTTATTCTTTGATTCTTCCTTCTATCACCTTCTCTTATGTTATTCTTTGTTTTAATCATTCTATCACTTTCTCTTTCTGTCTTTCATTGTGTTATTCTTTGTTTCTTTCTTCTATCACCTTCTCTTATGTTATTCTTTGTTTTTATAATTCTATCACTTTCTCTTATGTTATTCTTTGTTTTAATCATTCTATCACTTTCTCTTATGCTATTCTTTGTTTTAATCATTCTATTACCTTCTCTTATGTTATTCATTGTTTTGAATCATTCTATTACTTTCTCTTTCTGTCTTTCCTTATGTTATTCTTTGTGTCTTCCTTCTATCACCTTTTTTTAATGTTATTCTTTGTTTTAATAATTCTATCACTTTCTCTTTCTGTCTTTCCTTATGTTATTCTTGTTTCTTCCTTCTGTTACCTTCTCATTCTTTGTTTTATTATTGCGATCTATGCTCAAAACAGCAGTCGACAGACGGCCGTAAACAATTCCAGAAAGCGCGCGCCGAAGTTAACCTATACTTCCTGGGTCAAAGTGCGCAGTGTGATGCGCAGTGGCTTGGCTCGAAATGAGCTAGAATCAGCGTTGATAAAAAAAATCGCTTGAACGCTTTCCCGCAGTGACCTTGTTTTGTAACGGCGTTTTGATGTGATTCATTTTTGTGATTCTAGCTTCGAAAAATCGCTTGAACGCACCCTTACGACCCTTACAGTCGCAAGTATTTTATTGCATAGAAATTACACGCACAAAAATTGGCTGGTAGGCCACAAATCCATTTCTTTTATCTATTTTACACTCGGGAGAGAATGGAGGGGAAGGGGAGGGGCAGGGAGGGGCAGGGAGTTGGAGGGAGGGGGAGGGAGAGGGAGGGAGGGAGAGGCGGAGAGGGGAGGGGGAGGGAGGGGAGGAAGTGGGAGGGAGGGAGAGGGGGAGAGAGGGGGAGGTTGAGAGGGGAAGGGAGTGAGTGAGAGAGAGAGAGAGAGAGAGGGAGAGAGAGGGAGAGAGGGAGAGAGAGAGAGAGAGAGAGAGAGGAACAAGCGAACCGTATCAGCTGTAACAATAATACAATAAATAATACAACAAATAATAAGACTTAATTCGGAAAATCAAACTAAATTGCGTCACCTTAAAGTTAAAAATGTGCAAACATTACAATGACATTACGTAATCCGAACTATGTGCGATACAATAGGGTATAGAGATTCCCCTTGGGTTGATTTTTCGAAAGTTTTTGCGATCGTGTTAATTGATTTTCGTCTTTCCATACACAGACTGGCGAGAAAGAAAAAAATGGAGCCGGTGAAGAGGGTAGCAGTGATTGGTGCTGGGGTGAGCGGTCTGGTGTCTGTCAAAGCTTGTCTCGAAGAGGGACTCGAACCTGTGTGCTACGAACGGAACGATGAAATAGGTGAGTGGTTCAATGTTTACTTGAACTTGAGAAAATGATATATTCAGGTGCGTCGCTACAGTGGATGAGGAGGGGGAGATAGTAAGCAAATAATTACCGTTGGTGAAGGTGATGGGACAAACTGTCACTTCCGAGGCGATCTGGATGTAGCTGTCTTTCCGAAGCGAAGATGAGGAAAGATAGCGTATACATTTAGATTGCCGAGGAAGTGATAGTTTGCCATCGCCTGAAACCAAAAGGTGATTATTTGCTTTATATTCCACATCGGAAACATTTTATTTCTTCCGTCATTTTAGAGCAACAAGTCATCAATAACAGCTGGCAAACGGTGTACGATACGTACAGTGCATGCAGTATGGTGGTGTGACCATATTATAATTCGCGCGTGACCAAAGTTTGCGTACTAACACTAAAAGCGCTTAAAGAGGAGAGCAATACGCAGCGTATACAATTAAAGTGCGTTGCCCTGTGTAGATAGGACTTCTATCTTCAGTGAAAGTGCGTTGCCCTGTGTAGATAGTACTACTATCTACACAGTGTAACGAACTTTTTGCTTCTCCCAGCAACGATGGGCGAACTATCTTTCATCACGTGATTTACTTTTGACCAATCGTAGAGCAAGATTCTTAGTATGTGTAATATAATTTGTTTTAAGCTGTGCGGCAAATTGGACAAGATTTTTTCCGTCCAACTCCCCCTTGAAAATGGTTAAGTAACGTTCGTAAAAAATTATTTCACATTTTTAACGGGGAAATTTTGCCCTATTATAAGCTTATTTGTTCATTTAACTATTTAACGACTTTCATTATCAGTTGAAGAGTGTTACCTTTTTATATAAGTAATTATGGGGAATAATATAAGGGGTTAAGCCTGTTCGAGCATTGCGTTATTAAGCTATTTTCATTTTCAATTGGAAGTGGTTTAGAGTAAGTTATTCGTAACTTCCGATGAGCATATTGACGCACTTTCTATTTTACTTTCCGGATAGAGGTTCGATAAGAGTGCTGTATACTCCGACCGAAACAGCCACCTTGTAGTCAGTGGCTTTCAGGCTTCCGAAAGGAGAATAATGAGGATGCTGGGGTGCTGAGGGTTGCAGCATCCCACCATTTTCGGGCGCCCAAACTTTTCCCCAAACTTTAAAAGATTTAATATGCGTTACACCTGAGACATGTTAACATGTCTCTGGTTCTTTCGATTATGTTATAACTACACCAATAAGATCTTTGACGGCAATTAGCGCATGCGCCACCAATTAAATAATTTTTGAACGAAGTCGCTCTCACACTGCGTGTCAAAGAGCGCACTAGTTAGTGGTTGACGCAGTCCGAAATCGGCACATGACGCCTTGTGTGCAACGGCTAGTTATCATGGAAGATACATAATTATGTTTGGTGGTTGTGTAGCATCCTTAAAACAACCCATTAAAAAAAGATATCTATCGTAGAGGCCTCAACTGATTGGCGTAAGAAGGATGCTTCCCTCCGTCTCTTTCTCTGTCTCTCTCACGCTGTATCTCCTTTCTCCTCCCCCTTCTACATTCTTCCCTCCCCCCTCTCTCTCTCTCTCTCTCTTGCCACTTCTCCTCACCTCCCCTTTTAAATACGCCTGTAAAAACCAAATTAAGCACTCTACTCCCCCTCTATCTCTCTCTGTCGTTCACTTATCTATCTCACTTTCTTTCTCTCGCTCTCTCTCTCTCTCTCTCTCTTTCACCCAGGTGGGATATGGGTCTACCGTGATAAGAATCCAAACGGTCAGACCGATGCGGCCATCTACGAAGGACTGGTGACCAATTCTAGTAAAGAGATGATGTGTTTCAGCGATTTCCCCTTCCCGCGTGAGTGGGCGCCCTACATCCAGGGTAAACAACTCAACGAGTATTACCACGCCTATGCTAAACAATTTGATCTCAACAGACACATACATCTTAACACTGAGGTAAGAATGAAGAGAGCTGAATTTAAAGCGGGACTGCACTACTTGCGCCCTCTATATAGCAAACAATAGTACAATGCCTAAGCGGTACCCGTTGGTCCCCCATGATCCCCTTTTTCTTAGGTTAAGTGAGAGCTGATTTGATGAGATAACCACCTGTCAGTGACCATGCAGGGAGTTCTAATCCCTCCTGGCCAAACTAGTGCAGACAAGCTTTAATACAAAGGTTTAGGCACAACGACTTTTCATGTGTGTTTTTGTTTCTCACCTCCGAAAATATTGTAGAAAAAGTACACCAACGTGGTAAATAATGTATGATGCTGGTGCAAATAAGATTTTCTTATTTTCTTAATCTGTTTTTCTTTTCATCTATGAAAAATAAATATAACAATCTAACTGTATATCGATGCAGGGAGGTGTTTTCCCACCTCCCTGATCGATGGGATCAACACTTTCTTACCCATTGTACATTCAGTCTTGTTATAAAATGTATGATGCTGGTGCTAATAAGATTGTCTGTTTTTCTTTTCATCGGTGAAAAATAAATATAACAAGCTAAATGTATATCGATGGGATCAACATTTTCTTACCCATTGTACATTCAGTCTTGTTATAAAATGTATGATGCTGGTGCTAATAAGATTGTCTGTTTTTCTTTTCATCGGTGAAAAATAAATATAACAAGCTAACTGTATATCGATGGGATCAACATTTTCTTACCCATTGTACATTCAGTCTTGTTATAAAATACTTATCTGTATTTAAAGACCTTACCACAGCATTGCTGAAAGCCTCATCTAATTTATAGGTTTGCCCCTGGTATATTTTGTAGGGTGCTTTGGAAACTTTCAAGAAAATGAATATATGACCGATGACAGTATTACGGTATTTGCCTTTGCAAATTGGTTTGCTTATGTGCAGTTTGTTTAAAATTGATGAAGGGTAACAATGAAAATGAGTCGACATGCAAGATAAGTTTGTGATTAATTTTTGAACGGATCAGAGTGATAGAAATACAGGAAGTTGAACGATCATAGAGATCATAGTTAAGACCTCGTTGGTCTCCCTTGTTTTAAAGGTACTGTGTGTCGAGAAGACAAAGGACCACGATACGACGGGCCGGTGGTCGGTGTTGGTCCGAAACCAGGACGGAACGGAGAGCGAGTCCTTGTTCGATGCCGTTATGGTGTGTACGAGTATCTTCAACAAACCATTTGTCCCAACCTATCCGGGAATGGACGTGTTTCGAGGAGAGACCTGTCACAGCAAAGATTTCCGAAAAGGCGAAAGATTTGAAGACAAGACAGTTCTGGCCGTCGGTACGTTCATTTTCGCTTTATATATTTCTTTTGAAGTATTAGCGATTTCTCTTTCCCTTGTTAGTTTTCCACCTTCATACTTGCTGCTGCTACCGTCAACTCCTTCCACCTTTGTTTGTCGTCCTTTGGAATCAATTATGGTTAAAAAATTAATCGAATCGATTCCTAACCCACCCCCTCTCCCTCCCCTTATTCGTTTGTTGTTCTACTTCGAGATACCTAATTGCCTTGTAGCATCGTAAGTTCCTTCCGTTTAGCCTTTGCTCCTACTTTACAAAAAAAAGGAATTGTTTGAGGATTTAGCAGTTTACCTTTCCTTTACCCTTCAATTACCCGAGACATTCGATATTTCCCTTCTATTTTGCTTAATACTTTCTATTTTGGTTTGTCTCAATTGTTTGTGATTGTTCTCAAAAGTAATCTGGAGCCACCTCTAAATATCAGTCACTCAAAGGTACAGCTAGCTTTGGGCCCCGGATGCGTTACATGGATACAGAAAGAGGAAACTACACTGACATACTAATCGAAAGTCCAAATATTTATGGAATGTAAATTTCTCATGAATAAAACTATAATAAACATAGCTTTTTTTTTTATTCCAGCAGGTCATCAGGATAGGTAAAGATTAAAAGCTTCCGGGTCGCCTGAAGACTTTGTCCCTTCCTTTAGATTGAAAACACACCAAAAACAAAACAAAATTGTCAAAGAGCAAAATCCAAGTACAACCATCGTTTTTTAAAGACTTATTGAGGATTGTACGGAATATTGAAGGTGTGACATAACTGAGAGAGGAAAAATGACAAGATTCTGGATTTCAGGGCGTCAAAATAAACAAATTTTCTCGGTGCCCCTTGAAGCTGCCATTGATTGGCAATATATCATTGAAAGATCTCTGTATAACTCGGTGATAAACTAGTGGTGTATCCAGAAAAGGGTACGTAGCGCTGACAAATGCCCCCATTTGTTTAATGACTAAGGAAAAATCATCACAACTTGCATTTGGGTCCACACTTAAACACATGGGGTAGCCCAAAGAGGCTATACATTCCGCTTCCAAGCGCCCCTCCCACTCGAACACCTCCATCCCACTCCCCGGTCTAGAGAGGATTCCCTCCTCCTCGTCAGTTTCTGGATACTCCACCGGGTTAAATTATCACCATTATCATGATAAATTTTTAATAAACAGTGGACAAATTAGGTTTGGCTTCTTGCCTCCTTTGCAGGCGGTTCCCATTCGGCCGGAGACATGGCTGTCAACTCTAGTCGATTCGCCAAACAGGTGAGGAAAATAGATTAAAATAGTATGTACACAAATTATTTTAGACTTTAAATCTTAGAAAGAAGCACTATAGTTATGAGATAGCTAACATCACAATACACTGTAAACCGAATCTCTATATCGATACGAAGACAGTGATTAAGTAATTAAAGAGGTTTCCTTTAACCCTCAAAATATCTACTAGGGTGGCTGTTTGCATTGACATATTATTTAATTCAAAATGACACTGTACTCGTTACTGCCATTGGAGATTTTTTTATTATTGGCGTTCAGTCAAAATTGAGTAATTATATGCCTGGTTTGGTTGCTTACGTGAAATCGTCTAGTCATGTAGCCTCGTAGCCTTGTAACCCTCATTTGGACAGGGGTCTCATACACTTTTGACCATTGCCACACTGCTATGACAGGTATACCTCAGCACACGTACGGGTACGTGGTTGGCGAACCGGATGCAATCTAACGGCCTGCCACGTGACATGACCATCCATCGTCGTTACATGACCCATGTCCCGGTGAACTGGAAGCTGAAGCGATTCGAGCAGGACAGCGTTCAGAGGGTAGACCCGACACTCATCGGTATCAGGAGTTCTAAGCGATATGGTACCACCACGGTCATGATCAATGATGATCTAGGAACCATGGTCCTCAGTGGAAAGATTAAGGTAAGAAGGGTTCACCCTATACGCTGGAAGATGAAGACTATATCCCACCGCTGCCACCATGTTGTATTTTGTGTTTCTGAACAAACTATAGGAGCAACGGTACTTAACGGAAAAGCCAATAGAACAAAGGTTTACACTCTCTCTCTGGTTATTCTACTATACGTCCAATTATTGTTATCATGTCCTCTTGGTCGCACATCTCATTGGTCATACATAGACATTGGTCCTTCTTACCTGGGTAGTGAGACCAACGGGACATATATCAGCCCATCAGGCTGACCAGACCTGGCACTACAGAGGTGTTCTTTGATAACGATATTTCAAAATCTAATTGAGGAACTGTCGACTAATACCACCATGATGAGAAAACTGTTTTATACTCTCGTGTTGACTTTTTGTATTTTCCTTTCATTTTGCTGTCGAAAATCAGACAAAGCCTGGAATTGATCACTTTACTGAAACGGGGGTTGTATTCAAAGACGGTTCAACCATTGAAGAACTGGACGCAGTTGTCTTCGCAACTGGATTCCAAATATGCAACCCTTACATCAGTCATGATATTGTACCAGGTGAGTTGTTGCGAGCCGTGTTATCCAGTGCATCATAGGCATGCTCAACACAACTTTCACTGAATTCCGTTTGTAGATGTTATGTTTTGATTTCTTAATAAACACATAATTAAAAAAAAAACTCATGATAATTATGTACATAGCTGCATAATACCCAGTATTCGCAAGACCTTTTATTTTATAATTTTGCTATGAGTAATAATCATCTTTGCCATATTTTGATAGAAGAGATGCTAAAATAAATAAATAAGTAAATTACACGGTTTTTCTTCAATCTCACTCACACACAATATGTAGATATCTGCATTATATTTTTATTCAAATCCCTATACAACTACTTGTAATCACTAAATCTCCTTAGTCAGTTTTATTGTTTTGTTTGATTTATTGTGTTATTTACCTTCATGTTTTTTTTCTTCTTCAGGGGATGAGTAATTTTCTGTTATTCCATGGAATGTAGACCTACAATAAAAATTGTGCATTATTGCTCGAGTTAAAAAATAAAAATAGTAAGCACTATTTTTTTTTTTTTTTTTTTTGGGGGGGGGGGGGCCTTCGAAAATTTGAAAAATCAACCCCCCCCCCCCCTTTTAATTTGATGCAACTCACATGATGCATATTTCATGCATAATTGAATAAAATCAATTTGAAGAAAGAGTACCAAAAAGTCATTTGGCAGACGGTATTTGAATTTCATTTTCTGCCCTTTCATAATGACACATCAATCAGGGAAAATGAGCTAGGAAAAATAAAGTTCTGTTTGATTGAATGAATTCATTTTCACTGACTGCCTGCCGTAGCAACAAACATAATTGACAAAAGACTTTACTCCGTTTTGTTGGCAATCAGCCAGTGAACAAATTTAACAAATTACCTTACTTACCATTTCCATTTCTGTATTCAGATCGTCTGGAGGATTTAGAGATGTTCCACTTTGTGTGGCCTGCCAAAGAGAAGCACCACACCCTGGCAGCCATTGGATTCATCATGATCGTTGGCCCACACGCCCCGGCCCTGGAACTGCAGGCCCGATGGGCTGTACAGGTCTTCAAGAAGAACGTAGGGCTACCACCAAGGGAGGTCATGATGAAAGAGATCACTGGTCGCAAGATGGGAACGTTCAAGAGGTTCGGCAAACACAAGATACAGGTGGGAACAACCTCCGATATCCACGAGCAGGGGCAGATCTTAATACAAAAAGGGCAAGATTCCGAAAATAGGAATTTTAAAGGGGGCACAAGAAGAGAATGATAAGGGGCAGATGGTATTCCACATAGGCATATAAGAGGGAGGTCGACGTGCCCCCTCCGTAACCCACCACTGTCAGGGACTGTCCCTGTGAGTATATATATATATACCAATTTAATTCATGTTTTTATAAAATTATTTGTCCATTTTTAATAGATCAAAGAAGAGACTCGCCGAATCCATATAGTTATAGAGGTTTTTGATATTTGTTAGTGACTATTTTATCGCCTTAAATCGCAGTTATCAAACTTTGCTTTGAAAAAAATTCCTCCTGTAAATAGGTTTAAAATTTGAGTTTTTCATCAAAATATGGAAGTCGGTTTGTCTACGAGATGTCTCCTAATCATCTTCTGTCCTCGCGTTCAAACTATCAGAGTATATTATGTCGAAACGATGAGATCCTTGATTTCAATTTGTTGTCATTCTTTCAGCACTGGGGCATTTTACAAGTAAGATTATTCGCTCCTAATTAATTCTTTTCAATTACGTATGTTCAAATCAAGTCATTCTACCCATCTTATTGAACTGTACCGGTTATCTACCCTTTTTCAAAATCAAAACGTTGAATACCTTTAAGAAGAATTTTCCGGTGATTTCCAAATTAAACATTGGCCTATACGCTTGCCTCATTCATTACAACCTTGAACATTTCATACTTCGTATTTCATACCAAACAGACACTTCCCCTGCCTTACCAAGACATCATAGCCGGTTTCATAGGAGCTAGACCCGACTTAAGGTCTTTGATCTTTAGCGACCCCTGGCTCGCCTACGAACTCTTCTTCGGACCAGCCTACCCGGCAGGCTACCGCTTGTTTGGCCCCCACACCTGGTCTAAAGCCCGAGAACACATCGCACGAGGTATCGACAACGTCGTCTTCCCGACCAAGACGCGCAGCGTCGAGACAGCACAGAGCGCGGGAAGTATATTCCGCCTGACGGTGAACGGGTTTCTCAAGACAGCTTTCATGGCTCTAATGATCATATTCATCCTCTCTGTGCTGACCTAATACCATCCCAAAGTGGGATTATTCCCGCCCCCCCCCCCCACTCAGTGTTATTTAGGGTACGCATATGCGTGTTCCTTACTTTTGAAAACACCCCCTAAGTCCGGTGTGTAAAGTCAATACGGGCCGGAAAAGTACCCCTTTACCGGACATTTTGGTAACACGCATGCGGTCATTCCGGTCATTGGGGGCGGGGGGGGGGGGCGGGTGATTATTATTGAATCAATGATGTAAAGTGCAGAAAAGGGAAATGATTCAATGACGCGGAACAAAACGTTAGTTAGATAGTTCAAACATTCAAAGAGAAATTTACTAAATTATGTATCATACTTATTTTGTTATATCACCTCCATCAACATTCTGATACCTATGAATTTTGCCTACATCAATCAGAATGAAGTGCCTTGTCAATAAAACATGACCAGTCTGTAGAAGGGGGGGGGGGGGGAATAAGTCATCTTCCTTCTGGAACCCCCCCCCCCCCCCCCCATGTATAGGAATTTATTCCTTGAAACGCAGCGCGCGTAACAGCTGCACTGCTAAAGCCAGGGTAATTATGCTGCATTGTTGTAGAGCGCTTAGAGACTTCTGATAAAGTAGCCCAAGTGTTAGGTGCTATATAAGCAAGGATAATTATTGTTATATCAAATAAATCAAACATATAGAGTGCTACGTTCAAAACAGTCATTATTAAAAGAAAAAAAAATCATAAACTCCCCAAGTTGACAGGAGTTCACTATCAATGTGGCTTTCTTAATGGTCAAAATGAGTGCATTGATTACTCATTATTATTGATTCTTTGATGAAATCTTTTAACAGGAGAAAGTTAGGAAGTAGAGACCTACTTGCTAACCAAATACTTGTTTTCTCGTTGGCGGATTTGTACATAGAGATAGAAATAGATGTTTGAAAATCATAAAATGATTATGTTTTAGGGAATTTAATCACCTAAATAAAAGAAATAGAAATAGATTTCTTTCCTACCTTGTCTCGTAGAAACACCTGTTGAGTACAGATACTTGATACATCTTTAAAATTATCATTTGTTTTGTATTGTAGGTTGATTGTTTCTTTACGTTTATGTCAAATTTTAAAAGAAGAAAGATAGAAAGAGAGATCATCACGACACACTGCATTCAAAACAGAAACCTCTGTTCACTCCCAAGCATTTAAAATGTATAAGGAGTAAAGAAACATATTGATTCTTTATATAGTAGATTAAAATATTTGATTCTGTTCGTTATTGCAATGTAAGGATATAAGTTATACTGGAAATAAAAGGTACTAAAATAATGTAGTTAATGTTTTACAATGTATCTGTTTGTTGTAAGAACTGAAAAATATAAATAATGTAAAGAGAGGCATGAAGAGGGAATAAGAACGATAAAGAAAGAAAGAGAAGAGAAAAAATGATAGGTTTAGATTAGCCAGCACACTGAAATACTACATCACTCAAGGACGTTCTGAAGTTGTTGGTTCATGTATTTAGTTATAGGCCTAACGAATTCCATAGCCAATCAAAATGCATATAACAGAATTAATGTCCTTTCGCTCGCACAGACAACATGTATTCTTGTAATACCTCATTCAGATATGAAGTTGCAAAACCACAGCGGTATTTTTATGATGACGTTTTAAAAGTGTCATACGCATCGCATTTCTTATAAAATGAAGTTGCAAAACCACAGCGGTATTTTTATGATGACGTTTTAAAAGCGTCATACACATCGCATTTCTTATAAAATGAAGTTGCAAAAAAATGCAAAACCCCAGCGGTATTTTTATGATGACGTTTTAAAAGCGTCATACGCATCGCATTTCTTATAAAATGAAGTTGCAAAACCACAGCGGTATTTTTATAATGACGTTTTAAAAGCGTCATACGCATCGCATTTCTTATAAAATGAAGTTGCAAAACCACAGCGGTATTTTTATGATGACGTTTTAAAAGCGTCATACGCATCGCATTTCTTATAAAATCTCATGACACAGAGCTCAGTGATATTGCGCAGGACCTCTGTTGTGCACAGTTGCCAACCATTTACACATTTAACAAGAACAAGCAATGGTGGTCTTTTTGTGATGGTCATATTAAAAAGAATCTTAAAGCCCCACTGTACTACTTGTAGCTACTTGCTCCCTCTATATAGAAAACAATGCCTAATCAGTGACCATTGGTCCCCCATGATCTTCTCTTTCTTATGTTAATTGAGAACTGAGTTGATGAAATAACCACCTTTCAGTGACCACCCTGGGTGGTCTAGAGGAAGTGGCACTGACTGATGTCATTTCTTGTAAATACAAGGCTAAACAATTATTATAATTATAATTCACTGGCATTTCTTCAAAACAGTGACACATTGTATTAAACCAAGTGTCACATAATTTTAATTCTCTATGATTGTTTCACAACCTGCTCATAACTAAAAACACATTCAGCATTGTTTTTTGGGAGTCTGGGACAATCTTTTCCTGCCATGGTCCAATTGGAAAAACAATGAATTCATATTACATATCACTTTGATGTATGACTGAAATGACTCATTCCAAAAGGACAGCATTTTCTTGAAGAACAATGTTTGTTAATTTTCTTTCCAAAAAGTTTCTGCATTTATGAACTTAGAAATGAATTGTCCACATGACCAGACCATAATATGTCACGCAAAGATGTAGCATCTGCCCTCTGTTCTATTGTTTACTGGTAGGAGAAATTATGGTACAGATATTGCTTGAAATGTTCAAAATCGAAGGATAGGTCCATCACATGGCTCCTTTTTCACACAAAATTTCATTACCACGCATGCACTGACAAAACAGGCCTATACGACCGACAGCTTTTTGAGGATTTTGACAACGAAAGTTCTTTTCTCACGATCCGCTCTCCATGGCTACTTCAGACTGTACCCTTACATAGAATGGCCCATCTCTCACGTATTCCTTCAATCTCAACAGAGCGGGTCTACCAAAGGTGTCTCCCGTTGATGAGACTTCAGCCAGAGCCTTGACCACCGCGTACTTGGTCTCCTTGCCCTCCTTGTCGGGTTCTGTGCTCCTGTCGAGGAGGTACTCCAGGAACCCCGCCTCCTGGTTGAGGATCCGTCCGGCCCAGGGTTGGCTGACCAGGGCACGTAGGATCAGCAGGGCGTTGAGTCGGATCTCGGTGAAGGGTTGCTTGCAGAGTGAGAGGAGGAGGTCAAGGGGTTTGGGTGACAGGTGGGTGAACCACCTCTCCTGCATGCTGAGTAGGTCATCCATCTGATGCTCTTCCTGTGGTCAACAAAGATTGAGAACTGCCATGCATTAGCCACAAGGACACAGTGTTGTGTTATAAATTTGATAATAAACAACAACCTACAATAAATATACAGCAAGAAAACAAAGGTTAAAGACATCATGGAGAAAGTCAGAGAATCATAGTGGAGATGGGCTGGGCATGTAGCAAGACTTCAGGACAATTGATGGACAAATCGTTTAACAGAATGGAAACCAAGGATGGGAAAGAGAAGAAGAGGAAGGCAGAAGAGAAGATGGAGAGATGACCTAACATCATACATGGGAACGGCCGCTTGGACTAGGACTTCTAGAGACAGAAGAGAATGGAAATGTTATGAGGAGGGCTTTGTCCAACATCTGGATGAACTATAGCCTGATAGAATAGATAGAATAGAATAGGCTTGCGGTTGCACCATGTGAGAGGAAGGGAGGATTGGCGCTATAGCTCTCCTTAGAACTATTAGAACTATAGGCTAAGAAAGATAACAAACAGTCTTTTTCAGGACTACACACACTCAAGAAAGATTACCGAGAGTCCATTTCAGGACTCCCCAATCCTCTCTCTCTCTCACATGGTGCAACCTTACGCCTACTGTATATCTACTTCACCATGCAAGCCGATACTTATAAACAGCATCTAACCTACAATAATTATCATAAGCTACTGAAATCACTGACTCTGACAGGCTCAAGGCAAATTTAGTGTAGAATTGTAGCAGTTGTAATTCATAGCAAGGTTAATGAATCAGGGTCCAGGGGTTGGTGTTGTTCTCAAGATAGAAGTTGACCTTGGTGAATGACTGTTACGTCTTTGGAGGACGCGGGGGAGGTGTATCCTTGATCCAGTCTCTTCTTACCATTTAGAAATACTACATTTAAAGGGATCCGATAACTTTGTCTTAGATCCTTTAAAAAAATCCTTGATTCAGCTCATGCTGCAATGATAATTATAAACCTTTAGGTCAGTCAGGAACCCCATGACTTTTAAAAGCAGATGGCCTGTCTGATTATCAAGATATTTATGATTGAAAATCAAAATCAAATTTGTGTTTGCCAAACGGTTTTCATAACACTACAGTCTATAGAAGAAAACGAGTATGGTAAAAGTTTTTTTTTTCATTTTTGAGGCACTTCTTGATCATTTTGAAGCGCAATTTTTTAGGGCTTCAATATAACACCACATCACAGACACTGATAACATGTAGGGCCGTGATCTCAGATTTAACATTGTTAAATGATCCCTTTAAGTATTTTGAGCTTTGTTGTTGCCCACCAGACCTACTGAACCTTGCTACACAAGTTCATCCTTTGATCTTATCATCCTTCTCTAATCTTGCTTTTCTAGATTTCATATACCGACCACAAAGCATCAAAGCTTAAATTCATGTCAAACAATTTGCATGAACTTGAAATTTTGGAAAATGGTAGTGGAACAACATAAAAATGTATATAAGCTTTAGCTGGGTACTAGATACAGAGGATTCTAGATACAAAGGATACGCAGTGAAACCCCTATTAAGACCGTTCAAGGGAAACATGAAAAGTGGTCTTCATAGCTAGGTGGTCGCTAAAGCAGGTTTGACTGTACATACCTGAAGAGTGAATAAATCTTGGGCGGCTGTCAACGCTCTCGTTCTTGTCTCAGTCGGGGGTTGAACCAGTAACCTTCCAATCTGTTTCAGAGCATCTGCCATGGATTGTCCTGGAAGAAATAGAAAGGACATTTCAGAATGGTCACAAGATTTTGTTATGGGAGTTAGGGGGTGTTTCATAAAGCTGTGCGTAAAGTTACGAATGACTTTACAAATGATTTGAATATGAAGAGCCAAATTGGATGCCCAAAGTATTTCCTGACATTTTAACAAAGTGTGACTGTATTTTCCATATTCTCAATTAAATTGTAGCCCCCAAAAACTTTGTATTAAAATGTTTTTTGTTAATAATGATGAGGTTAATCTACATCTGCATATTTCAACTTTAGCTTATGCAATTAAAAGGATTTGGGAATCCCAATTAGCTCAATATAAAAGTCATTCGTAAAGTCAAGAGTAACTTTACGCAAAGCTTTATGAAACACCCCCCAGATCACAGGATCAGAACCTTATGTGAAGTATTTTGAAAAGTTATAACATTTTGAAAAGTTATAACATATCCTTTTGTGATCTCCAGGGAAAAAATACACAGGGGCTCGGGGCAAATTAGCCCCCGAAAGTCATAAAAAAGCCCCCCAAAATGTGCATAGAGTTCAATGCAAAACGAATTGAAGAGTGTTACTCTCATACAAGCAAGCTTGAAAAGTAGCCCCTGAAATTGTTTTGATATTTTTTCCCCTGTGATTCTCACATTTACACAGTAATACTGAATTCATTGAGGTGTGACTGTATGAAGTATCTGTAGTCATGCTCTTCTCATGAAAAGAACTGTTAATGTTTTTTGGTTGATTTTAAGTCCATGCAATATCATATTAAAAAGAATGAAACACAAATCTTACCACAGTAACTATTCACAGACTAACTATTCACAGACTGTAACTATTCACAGACTGTAACTATTCACAGACTGTAACTATTCACAGACTGTAACTATTCACAGACTGTAACCATTCACAGACGGTAACTATCCACAGACGGTAACTATTCACAGACAGGTTAATAAATACTAAATACCTTGCTTATCAAGGGTCTGCTTTCCTTCCACTCTCCGTCCAACAAATCCCACCGTTTCCACGGCAATACAAGCTAAGGCGGGGTCCCCGGAGGATAGAAGGTCAAAGGTGATTCTGAGGAAGGAGCTGTGTTTCTCGGTGACCTCCTTGGGATCAAAGTGAGCCACGGTACCGAAGAACTTGACGATAGGAGGGATAAGGAAGTCCTGGGAAGGGTCGGCCTGGGCACCAATCAGGAGGTTCTCTAACCTTCCCATGACGCCTTGCTGGTCAAGGAAGTGTAGGGCATGCTGGGATACTGTTAAGTTGGCGAGCATCTCGATGGCATTGAGTTGGATGAGGACGTCGTCGGTGTTGATGTCAGAGACAAGATCTTGAAGAAAGCCAGAGGAAACTGCATGCTCAAGAGCTGATGGAGATGAGGCTGCAATGTGGACTATGATCTACTCCCGAAAAAGAGGAATTAACAGAATAAAAATAATAAAAAATGATGTTGTTACAGAGCAAACTTTAACCAATTAATTTCCTAAAGGATACATCACTGATCTGATTAGCAATAAAGATCTAATAGAAAATTAGATATGTTCATTTCATTCCAAAAGCATCTTCAAAATAGCAACCCCCCAAAATATGTCACTAGCAAAGAAAACGAATCTACACCGTTCTCCCTAAAAACCAGATTTTGTTCTCACAATATTTAATTCATTCAAAGTTATCTAGGAAAGTACACTCTACAAGACTGAGATACACAAAAACAGCTAAGAATTACATTAATTCTAAGGGGCATCCTTAGCAAGATAACAAATAGGTATGGTGCATGCAGTAAATTATTTTACAATATGCAAGCAAAGTTAGACATCCTTCAAAACTTCATTCCCTCACCTCAAAAACCCTGTAACGAATGGTGTCATTCTTCCCTGCTACACTCTTCAAGCCCTCAAGATGTTGACCTCCAAAGAGTAACCCCTGACCTTTGACATCTGACCCAGTGACCTGCAGCACTGCCATGGCGATCTTGGCTACAGCAAGGCTGTCATCACCGACCTTTGAGATGACGAGCGAGAGGAGGTCCACGTCGGAGAGGAGAATGTGCAAACCAGAGGGCTCATTTGCGGCTCTCTTGATCTAGTCATTAGAAATCAAATCAATTCATATCATAATCAAATCCATTGTTCTTTTATAAAGCAGGGGTGATAGTGAGCACTAAAAAAAAAATTGGTTTTTTGTTTTCCCAACCACGTCCCCCTTGAGTAAAAAAAAGAGAAGAGGATTCGCGGGGAAAAAACGGCATCTAACAACATTCCCCCCTTTCGACTAAGAAAATTCGGAAAAATAGGGCAAAATTAGAGAAAATAACTGGGAAACCTGTAAAATCAGGATAAATGAGGGAAGAAGGATAAAAACTGGTTAAAATTTTTTTTTCTAAAAATGATTTTTTTTTTTTTTTTTTTTTTTTTTTTTTTTTTTTAAATCGAGAAGAAAAAAAAATTGGGAAACCAAGTTAAATCGGGTTTTTATCAGGCCTGATAAAGCAACATTACATGACTTTCAATATAAACCCATTGACTACTGAATTTTTTTTCTTCTCATAGATGTGGTGAAGGAACCAGTTGGTTTCAGAAGACAGTAGTTTAGAGTCACAATATGAAGGAAGCATACATGCTTTGTCGCAAAACTTCCACAATTATTCATCGACATTTTGTCTAATTGCCTGCCATTAGAGGTAATCAAGAACTTCAATAATTCTCTCTTTTTTAGGCTTCAGATTTTATAATGACTTGATACTTAACATAGTCTAGTGCAATTTAAAAACATTATAACAATTCAAAATGCAGTTATATTAGTTGTTATCTGCAATAAAATTCTGCCTCCTCGGTCACTCATCTTTCCAAGAAAGATCGAAGTACTAAATAACTTCAATAATTAACTTGTGTCATTTCAGATTTCATTATGACTTGGTACTTAAAATTTATAAAACATAATACTAATTTAAAATGCAATTATTTTAGTTTTTATCTGCAATAAAGGTCTACCTTCTCTGTCACTCATCCTTCTTAGAAAGTTAAGTTCAATTTTGTTTATCGATTCATATTGTAGAGTTATTCATCAAGAAGTAACATTAACATCATTTCAGTCTGAGAGATATAGTGAGTGAGAGTGAGTGAGAGAGAGAGAGAGAGAGAGAAAGAGAGAGAGAGAGAGAGTGAGAGAGAGAGAATGAGAGAGAATGAGAGACACAGATAGAAGAAAGGGGAAGAAAGTCATCATTATTTTTCTTTACTGTTTTTGAATGGGATCTACCAAACCCTGACGCTTGAAAACATTACTTCAAATTTTCTTTAAATTCTTTCCAGCATTTTACCACACAGTCCCTTCATGATGATGATAAAAAATGACTCCTCCATATATACCTGTTTGAGACAGAGAGTCTTGATGTCCTCCTGTGGGTGACCCAATCCCATACACAGTTCGTCTCTGAACTGGGCTAGCAACACCTCCACATCCACATTATCTAGCAGAGTGGTTAGGATGTCCCGGCTCAATTCGAGCTCATTCCTGCAAAATAATCACATTTAAAGTTTTAAAATATTTTCCTTCTTCTTCCTCCGCTCTCATCAGAGATCTGCAGTTGTGACCTGCATGAGTTGTATCTTAATTGGTGTCTTCCAATGTCTCCCTCTTCCATCTATTGGTATCGCCGTTAAGAACATTAAACTCAAGCTCATTCCTGCAAAATAATCATATTTAAAGTTGGTTTTTAAACATCTTTTTCTTCTTCTTCTTCTTCTTCTTCTTCCTCCGCTCTTATCAGAGATCTGCAGTTGCATGAGTTGTATCTCAATCGGTGTCTTCCAATGTCTTCCTCTTTCATCTATTGCTATCATTTTTAAGAACATTCATGTGAGAGAGGAAAGGAAAGAGGTGAATGGACAATACTCATTTTGTGAAGGATGAGTAGAATTAAAGGTACTTTGTCCCATTTGCCGGCCCAAAAAATGAAAAAGTTAAATTCCAACTGCATTTATTTGAAAGATAATACTTATTGAGAACTTCCCTAAAAAAGGTGGGGCTTGAAAATGTCTTCAAGTGGGAAAATAATGACTATTAGTTGTCAAATCGACTTTAGGGCTATAGAGCCCAAAAGTAATAGTCTTGATTTTCAGACAATTGTACTTAATGGTCATACGTTTTATGCTGCGCAAGGTTTCAATCAGTTTAATCTTGGCCATCACAAGAAGTGGGTTATTGATGTAGACAAATGCTCATGTACCCTTTACAACTCTTTTCATGTATGTTATTACCAAAGAAGAAAAAAAGCCAGTCAGTCACTCAATAGTGTCTGACAGTGAAGTCTAGCAAGTAAACGGGTTTCCTTACATAATTTGAATATGAGGACACTGCTAACGTTTAAATTTCACAGATAGGACATACATGACATATTCATAATTCCTGCAAAGTTCTACCGACTTTAGGGCTATAGAGCCCAAAAGTAATAGTCTTGATTTTCAGACAATTGTACCGAATGGTCATACGTTTTATGCTGCGCAAGGTTTCAATCAGTTTAATCTTGGCCATCACAAGAAGTGGGTTATTGATGTAGACAAATGCTCATGTACCCTTTACAACTCTTTTCATGTATGTTATTACCAAAGAAGAAAAAGAGCTAGTCAGTCACTCAATAGTGTCTGACAGTGAAGTCTAGCAAGTAAACGGGTTTCCTTACATAATTTGAATATGAGGACACTGCTAACGTTTAAATTTCACAGATAGGACATACATGACATATTCATAATTCCTGCAAAGTTCTACCGAATTTGAGGTTGGCTGCAAAAGGGACGTAGTACCTTTAAGTGTTCAGTTTGATGAAAGCATGAGGGATTTGAAGAGAAGTTTAGCTTTTGTGAATGCTGTACCGTCATTAAGGTCAAATTACGAGGGTGTGGTTTCAGAGAAGTGTCTGTTCTTCACTTCTCTGACAAGATCTCTTGTGTGTGTGTCCAGTAAACAGCAGGAGGTCACAGAGTGGATAGCGTCTTCATCTTCCTGCTGGTGGAGTTGGCAAGTGGATGCAATGTTTTCTTCATAGTCACAAGCCTTGATTGGACTAAATGTGTCTTGCATGCTAACTGAGATCTTATATGTCATGAGAATATCCAGTCTGAGCTTTACTCAAATCAGCCCATTCATTTCAGACTGTAGAAAGGTAATGTATAAGACTGCAGAGTATTTTATTTTATCAATATAAATTAGTTTAATCATTCTTTAAGAAAATATATGGAGCATGGATTAATCTAATTTTAATGATTTGTAATATGGCTGAGGGTTTAAAAGCTCTATAAACTTGGACTAAGTTGTAAACTGGCCTCACTAGGTCATTGGGCAAAATATGTGCAACGCTAAAAGTACTTGTAAAGTGTATCAGACATTTGAGATGACTAAGTACTGTAGTAAGTACGGTAATGAAAAAGTTATTGGGGTTTGCGCCCCCCCCCCCCCCCCAAAAAAAAAAAAAAAAAAAATTGAAAGGAAAAAAGAAGGGGAATTATTTTCTTGTCATGACACAAAGATAATTAGAGATAGAAGAAAAAAAACTTCAAGAATTCAAGGCCATTATCATTATATTTACCAAATTGTTAAAAAGCAAGAACAAATGAAAGTTCTAACAATAGATAGACCTATCAAATTCACCAACATTTCACAAACTTCAGAACTGAAGTTGATAGTGAAGAATGAATCATTTTATTTCTCATTCCAAAACGAACCCCAACTTCGGCCCAAGTCCTAACTAGTAGTACCGGTAACTACATTGTAGGCCTTATGGCTTACTGTACTCAGAAGAAAAAGAAACCACACAGATAAGTCACTTAATATTTTTTTTTTTTAAAGACCTGTTTTTCGTTACATTAGTCATTACATCAATTTGATAAGCACGTTTCATTTTCCACTTTTATTAAACTAAGAATGACCCATACCAGACGGTTATTTCTGTCTGACTACTACTAGTACGCTATGTCTTGCCTCTAGTCTTGGTCATGTTTAGACAGAAATAACCGTCTGGTATGGGTCATTCTTTAATAAAACTGACATTTGTGGCCTTATCGTATCGTCATCGAAGTCCCCTCTCATTCACAGTGTACACACACGTTTGCGTGCAAAGACTAAAGTCTATGGAGGTGGATCAAAGACGAAGTCCCCCGCACCCAGACGCAAAGCTGGCAGCTGTGTAGTCTAGAGAAATAAGAGGGGACTCGGATCACGATAATGCCACATTTGTCAACCTCAGCTCAGAGGAGCCAGATGTAATTTCAGCGGAACAACCGATACCCATCAATATCAGAGATTGAAGCTTTCGGTCTAGGTCATGTTGTGCCTGGCCTACGGTACACAAGGTCGCTTGTACCCGAAGCTTCAGGCACACATGGTCCGCAGAAGCCGTTCGCACTGGAGCAGCTCAAACTGCAAGTCACAATCGATGTTCTTACCTGTTAGTGGAATTCAGGCATGAAAATACAGGATCAAATGATACATTCTTGAGCAGTTCTTTAAGCTCTGAAGGATGGGTGGTCTGGAGAACCACTTTGATCCCCTGAAGGGAAGAAAGCAGGTCAGAACCATTGTTGAGATTTTGCAGGAGTGTGTTTATGGAGGCCGCCATGATTGAGCTTGAATCGGCCAGTAGAGGGCTGGAATACAATCTTGTTTATACAGATGGATTCTTACATGTGATGATTGATTGATTGATTTTTATTCGACAAGCTTCCAATATACAACAATATACAATAATAACAGATCAAAAATAAGTCAGCTTGAACAGGATAACCCACGAAAGCTCGAGAGCTTATTTCCAGTGGGGTCCCTTACAGACATGTATACAATTAATAAATTAAAATAGTAATATTTACAGACAGATAAGAAAATTAAAAGAACTACTTATTAAAGATAATAATAACAACATTAAACTGATGATAGAAATGATATTAAGTACAAGAAGAAAAAGAAGAAGGAGAAGAAGAAAAAGAGGAGAAGGAAAAAGAGGAAAATAATGATGAATTTGTAGAATTTCTATAACGTACGAAAACATAAGTATATACAACATGAAAAAGTATGAACCGACAGAAGAATAACAATTTCAATCATATAACATGTCATTCACTTCTCTTCTCTGACTGTCAAGTATTAGGTATTCCTTTAATTTCCTCTTAAAATGATCATAGTTTCCTATTTCTTTTACACCATTGGGAAGGGAATTCCAATGTTTTATGGCATTGTAATAAAACGAATTTCCAATACTACCTACTCTTTCTGGTAAGTTAAAGTTGAATCGTCTATTTCTTGTATTATAATCATGTACGTCAGTAACAAGATCGAAGTTGGATCGAATATAATGATTCGCCCTAGTATGATATATTTTATGCACGTGATGCAATGCGAGTTGTTTTGATCTTTGGTCGACTTCAAGAAAACCAGCTTTAGAAAGTTCGCTATAGCCAACATGAGTTCTTGGACCAGAACAGTTGATAAATCTCACCATTTTGTTCTGTATAATCTTCAACTTCTTTTGATCTGACTTGTTTATGTTACTGTACCATGCAGGGTTAGCATAGTCAAATAAACATTGAATAAGAGCAAAACAGAGTGTAAGTCTTGCTTTTAAATCCATACAACTTTGATATCTGTACAAAAATTTCAGACGAGAATTTGCTTTTTTTACAACTGATTCTACTAAAGATGAAAATGAAATTGCGCTAGCCAACTCAATGCCTAAATACTTCACAGACTCTTTTCTCTTGATTGCTTGATTATTGTGTGTCACTTTGAATTCAAATGACTTTTTAGAACTACTTTTAGAACAAAATAAAATGCTTTCTGTTTTTCCCAAGTGTAAAGAAAGCTTATTATCAGTCATCCAATCGACACACGTAGACAGCTGTTCACTGAGCTTTTCCTCAATATATTTAGGATCAGGATTTGAATAGAGTAGTACGCTGTCATCTGCGTACAATAATAGTTTGAAGTCTTTTATACAAATACACATATCATTTATATAACTTGAAAATAGAATTGGGCCTAAAATACTTCCCTGAGGAACACCGCATGTTATAGGCATTAGTTTGGAACGAATATCATGAATGGCCACTACTTGGTGCCGATTAGATAAGTAGGATCTGAACCAATCTAAACTTGCCTTATCAAAACCCATTAGTTGTAACTTCTTCAATAAGACGCAATGATTAACTGTATCAAAAGCTTTTTGCAGATCAAGGAGCACCATACCAACAAAGCGTCCTTGGGAAGTTTCTCTCCTCAAATAATCAGTCAAATGAATTAGACATGTTTCAGTCGAATAATCATGTCGAAAACCAGATTGAAATTCATAAATTATATCATTTTCTTTGAAGTATCTTTCAATTTGAACACAGACCGATTTTTCTAGAATCTTTGATGCTACGCTTAAAACACTAATAGGTCTATAGTTGCTAACATCAGTTTTATCTTTCTTTTTATAAAGTGGAGTCACTTTTGCTATTTTCATATCTTCTGGAAAAGTACTCGTCAAGATAGATAGGTTCATTAAGTAACTTAGAGGCTTAAATAAAACCTTCGCACCATCTTTTAGAAATTTAGCTGGAATCAAGTCTAACCCAGTACTTTTTGATACATTCAACTTACGTAACTCTTTGAAAACAAATTGTTCACTGATTGGTAATAACTCGAAGCTGTTTTCACGTACACCTTTTCTTTCGTAAAAGTCACGAATACAATCATTGTCTGCGCTGAAAAAGTCTTTGGAAGGGGGGAGTTTGTCTACTAATTTGGCAGCCACATTTGTGAAATGAGAATTGAATTCATCAGCGATGGCCATCTTATCATGACATAATTCCCCATCAATTTTAATGACAGATTCTTGTTCTTTTCGCTTCTTATTTTTCAATCCTAAGCTTTTTAGATTCTGCCAAAGTTTTTTCGAATCTTGTTTATTTTCTTCTATCTTGTTTTGTAAGTAATCGAGTTTAGCCTTTTTCACCTCTCTTTGGACCATATTTCTTAATACTCTGTATCTTTTATAGAGCTTCTCATCTTTTGCTTCTCATCTTTTGCTTCTCATCTTTTGCTTCTCATCTTTTGCTTCTCATCTTTTGCTCATGTGTGTGGTGGAAAAAACTTTAGACCAATCAGGGGGTACGGTGCTTTCAAAGAGAGTGAACATGCTAACGCGTGTGTGTGGGTGTGTTTTAGGTCCATGGTATGAGCAGGGATATGTGAGTTAAACTCACATATCCCTGGTATGAGGGAGGGGTGAGAGAAGCAGGACTCTGTTCTTGCACCAATGAAATAACCTCCAGATTTGTTAAGTTTTTTATATTTTTTATAGATCTAGTGAATATGTTATTGATTTATATATCATGTTTATGTACTTTAAATCCACTTTCTTGCTCAAATATATATATATATATATATATATATATATATATATATATAAAGATCTGACATTTGGGAGACATTCCGGTGTTATTATACCTACTTATAGGAGACACCCAGATTAGGGAGACATTTTCGTGTCTCCTTTACGTTTCAACACCCCATACATGCAGTTTTACAAGGAACGGTGTCCAAAATGCTTCATGAATATTCATGTTAACATTGTAGCTCAATGTTCGCACCGTCCATTTGATACAAGGGTACATCAACTTAAAATAGAAACCCTTTCAAATATGGGGGTGTATACTCGGCGTTGATATAACAGTGCATTTGAGAGACACAAAGTTTATGGGATATATCTCGCTTTCTCAATCGTATATGTGTGGGATATTCATTTCCAAGATCAGATGTGATTCTAACAACGTAATAATGTGCATCTTGCTCATTATTTTTTTAAAGAAAAATATATATCCGTTATGGTGTGAAAAGCACCCTCTTTTTTAAGGTAGTTTATTCCAATGCGATATCGCGATCTTCGCACATGCGCAGTAATATATACATATATTTGCCGATAAAATTGTCTCCCTTGCACCGTAATATATAGCAAAAGGTGTCTCCTAACTACACCGCTACACAGCAGATCAAGATGTTACTAGGACCTCCACGAATGTAGCCGGCCCAGGCGTTGCCGCCCAAGCTTCCCGCGCCGGTACGGTACGGTATGCAGGCTATAGCAGCATGCAAGTCGGGACGGTTGTCTGAACTTCAGGTAGGCCTATAGGGTCTATATGTGGATATTTTATTCTTTTCTGTTAATCATATTCATAGACTACTTCTATTACAGTACTACTAGTCCTGCATATATGGGGCTGAGACACTCATGAGAGTGGTAGCCAATTGACTTTAGAGTAGAAAAGTCTAGACTAGATCTAGATCCACTCCAGCAAAGCATAGAGAGTCGACCCTGTGTGATTCTCATACTAGATCTAGTACGTCTTGGGCCTTGGCTTGGCAAAAAAAAATTCTCCAATTTAGAGGTCTAACAGTTAGAATCTAGAAGTAGAAGAGTCTAGTACTAGTAGTAAAATCTAGATCTAGTAGGGGTCTAGACTCTATAGATCTAGCTGATCTAGACTCTACTAACTATTACTAGACCCTACTAGTCTAGATAGATCTATCAAGTATCATCTAGACCTAGGTCTAGATCTAAGTTAGATCTACTACTAGATCTAGGCTAGTAGTAGTACCGCCTAGATCTATCCGGGGCGGGGGTGGGTAGAGTCTACTCAAATTATTTGTTGTTGGGGGTGTGCCGCAGTCAGGGGCGTCGCTAGACCTTTTTCAGTGGGGGGGGGGGGGGTGTAAGTTAGAGACCACCGATTACCGACAAAACTAGCCACCAATTACCGACAAAATGTAATAATGTCCCTGTGTCTACAAATTTAACCCTATCAATACTAGTATCAACCCGGGGCCGAAGGCTAAATTATTTTTTCTATGAACTAGATCTAGATCTAGTCCACCCTGGACAGCTGTCAACGTAGCTTTTTGGGTGCAACAAATTCAAGATTCAAGATTCAAGATTCAAGATCTAGTCTATCTAGAATCTAGATCTATAGTAGATCTAGATCTACTTGCGTATGCGCAAATTGTCATTTTCCTTGACATAAATATAAGAATTATTTCGTTAACTTAGTCAGTATCATAGCTAGATCTAGACTATATATTTAAATGCAGGCGCGTAGATCTAGTTTGGATCCTATTTTAGGGGGAGGGGTAGTGAGAAGCGAATCACTTAAAGAGCGCGCAAAGGGCCCTCCCGCGCGAAGCTTTGACGTTTCATTGAATTATGAGAGAAGCAGACGATTAGTTGTAGTGTTCTCGACTCTTAATCCTTATCTGACTTTATAGATTCCACCCTTCCGCGCGAAGCGCGGAAGCTTTGACGTTTCATTGAATTATTATAGAAAGCAGACGCTTCTGTGTAGTATTCTCGAATCTTAATCCTTAATTGTCTGAAATCGGTTTCCCCCAATCGCGCGAAGCGTGGAAGCTTTGATGTTTTATTAAATTATGAGAGAAAGAAGACGATTCGTTGTACTGCTCTCGACTCTAAACCCTTGTATGAATTCAGTTAACCCCAATCGCGCGAAGCGCGGAAGCTCTGACGTTTCATTAAATTATGAGAGAAAGCGATTCTTGGTACTGTTCTCGTCTCTTAATCCTTATCTGAATGAAGATTCCACCC